AAATACAAAATGATAAAAGTTAGGAAGATGAAATAAAACCGGTAAACCAACAACTTTTCTAAAAGTTGGTGGGGTGGCCTGGGGTGGCACAGTGTAAGGCTATATATGCATGTGTGTGTGTGCGTGTATGGGGGTGGTGGTTGGGGTGTCGGGTGTGGGGTGTGTGTGTGTGTAGGGGGGGGTAGGAGCAATAAGGTTGGGTTGGGTGTCATAGGATAGTGTCTAATAGGGTTGGGAGGGGAGGGGTGGTGTGGTGTGGGTTTTTGGTGAGGGTCATTGTTCTTATGGGGAGGGATGGGGTGGTATTTTGAGGGCATGTTCCGGGGTAGTGTTTTGGGGAATAATGTGGGAGGAAAGCCCGAAGTGATGCAGGTCTCAGAGGTTTACCACTTCGGTGAAACCCACAAGCACAGGTATGGTGCTTACAAACCTAGAAACATAATCGGGGCGAAACAGGATTCGAACCCACAATCATAGGTTTCTGGTGTGCCCAAGGGACGCAACTCTGCACAGCGAATCGCAGCGCCTTAGACGACTGGGCCACCCGTGCCCCCGGGGAATGAAGGGGGATGGGGTGTTTTGAGGGGTGGAGGAGGTGGTATTTTTTAGGGTTATGTTCTTGTGGGTAGGGTTGGAATGTGTATCGAGGGTGTCCACCAATAAGGACAAAGCTGAGAAACATATGTTTGTTAACCTTCACTTTCAACGGATTTATCAATCTCAAACATAAAGTCATTAACTCAAAGTAATCAACAGATTTTCATATTACCATTTACACAACTGATATTATCGTAGCCTTGAGTTCCAACAAATGACACACAATACTGTGTAGACTGTACAGCCAGAGTTGACACCCGTACACTGTACACCATCATAACAACAGTCCAATATACAGAACCAGGAAATATGTACAAGCAATGGTGTACAGGCAACGCGGCGGCAACAGTGTTGAGGCTCCAGTTTCTCACTAATCACCAGACACACAGACTGAGGTGCGTGTCCCTCACTCACACAGCGGACATCACTCTCTTGGGATTTATCTATGATTCTAAACTAAGTGCCCTTGGCAAACAAATCATGAAAAAAAAAAAAAAAATGTTCAAAACTGGGATTTTTTAAAATTCCTATTTTCTTAAATTCTAAGGTACTTTAACATTACATTCCATACGATATAGTATTACTATGCATTAAGCTGCTTTCCCTCTACTAATCCTGTTAACAGTGAAATACAAGTCACCTCTAGAAAGCCATAACATTAGTTATAACCATATCAACATGAACTGGGAAATTTTAAATTCCAATTTTGGAAAGTTTACAGACATTTGCTGCAGACTGCGCAGGTCTAGATAAATCCCTGCTATCCTCTACATCCTCCATGAAATCAGGAAATGAACTCATTCACAAGCCTTTGTCCTTCTTGACGTAACACTGAAATTATCTTTGGTTTACATGTCTGTACAGTCTTAATAACAACAGCGACAAAACCTTTCCCATAATCATAAAAAATCTCCGTCCATTGTGCGATTCTGACTATATCATGATCATGTAATTATGAATCACTATCAAATAGTGATAATACTAGGTGTTACTGAAAAGGTGAGCATATCCTGCACCATGGGTTACACCCATCAAAACACATGCAAAGGCAAGTCAATTGTTCACCTGAAAATACAGAGCAAAACAGGGAATCGTGAAACAGGAAAAACTTACAATGCTTATCATTATGTCAAATCCTGTCCTAAAGTAAAATCTTATTTTTAAAATGCTGCACGTAAAACAATTTTTTCTAAACAAAGACTAAACAAAATCTTAAAATGTCAGAAGTAACTAAAACATCAAACACCCAGCTCTGACTTGTTGGGAACAAATGAAGTGGCCCAAAATTTGCCAGCTTAATTCTCTTTGAAAAATCTGGATTGGCTGGACATTAAACATGCCGGAATAGATGATCCATACAGTTCATTCAGTTAAAGCATAAACATGATAAAGAACCTTATAACCAATATTACTGGATGTACGCAATCTACCGTTATCCAATAGACTACACATGTTAAAAAATATTTTCATTTAAAAATTTCATCGATTTCCCACCAACCTATTATGACTTCCATGACTCTCTCATCATATCAGTTGAGAAGTAACAGGTGCCTCATCTCATAGACTTAATACCATATATACTCAACCCATTCAATACTTTTCGAATATTCCATAGAATTTGAAAACTCTGCAAGGTACCACTATACAATAGTCAGGTCCAGAACTAAGAACAAAATGGCAGTGAAATATTGCAGCAAATTGAGCAGACTGATTACAGTACACCATGGTTATGGCAATCGTGAGATACACAAGGCCATTACTTTTCTATTTATTGGATCACAGATCTTTTTCTGCCTCTATTCAGGAACCTAGATTGACAGACTATAAGTCTACAAGTGTCTTTCACAAGTGAGTTAATTTTGGCAAAGTCTGTGTATCACAGACAAGGAACACAACTTTAGGTTTAATATGAACAGAAGCAGCTATGTAACGTGTAATCTAAATAAGTGTGTGTAAATTTTGAATAAAATGTTTTATTTCTGTTGGATATAGGGTCCATGGATCCATGATCCCAGAAATAAAAACATAAAGACCAAATAACAAATAATATCACAATCCTGATTAATTAATTACTCATGTTCAAATTTTATCTATACTAAAAATCACCAATTGTATATAAGAAATTAACTGGTACATAGCATGCTTACTGAAATCTACATGAGCAAAATTCCAAAAAATGATTTTGGGAAAAACAAGTTTGGGATCTATCAAATCAATTTCAAGGTATCCGTTTAGTTCAATATAATCATGTTTCACTGAGATGGCAACAGAAGATTCCTCTCTCTAGCTAGCTGCCTTGAGTCGTACCCCTGGTTTGTTTTTAAAACATTATGAACGAAAAATAGGGTGAACAAATTGCCAATGCCTCATGAAGGATATAAATATATATATACACCTCAAAACAAAATGTTGCAGGCTGAATGACAATCACAATACATTAAGTATGACTTTTGTACAAGACAATATGACAAATGTGCATTCTTACAACAGATTATCTTGTGGATAATGGTAAGGTATGTTTTCAATAGAATGTCAAATAACTTAAAACTATGTGACTTTGAAATAAACTTGTCAAACTCTTTATCACGCTGATATGACAAAAAGGATTAATTTCATGATATGTTGAAACACAAATGACTATGTAAATCTATTTAACAAATGGAAAGAGTTGAAAAAGGAAAACCACTGACAAAAAACAATCAAAACTACAAATGACTGAATTAATCTCAAGAAATATAGAAAACTGGCACAAACAGTTTTATAGTTGTGTAATACTACATCGACATCAACTATATAGTCCTAGAAACACTGAAACATCCTTTACCATATATGGTAGGTTCCCCCCCAAATCCACAACTGCTAAAATGCAGACACTTTAAAAACATCCTGTAAATGTGGTTGTCTTCAAACACAGTATACCTCGGTGATCATGAGACACGGATTTCCCTCCTCATCCTCTTTTACACCCGTCAGCCTCATTTCAAAGTACTGACAGTGTAATCACATCATCAGTCTCTATGTTGCATAACCAACTTGCACGGTTCATATTGTGTCAATCTCATTAAAATCAAATCTTAGTTCTCGTTATCGCTAAACAAAGATATGAGGACATACCCCGTGTTAAATATTTCGTGGTTGCATGATTAGAAAACACATTCCGAGAGTCACTTTCATGATCTGGTAAGCGACGCTCTGATTGGTTGGATGAAAGGTCGTTTTGACGTGACCCGTAATGGGATGTCCTCAGATTTTGTTTACCGGTAGCGAAAACTAAGATCTGATTTTAATGAGATTGATATTGTGTAAACTCTGCTCGAGTCCACATGGAAGTCCCACGATGTCCTATCATGTCAACATCAACTTCAGAAATTTAAACTAGACTGGACAACAACTTTCAACAGGTCTACAGGAGCACCATCAAAAGTTGGGTGTCAAATAAATGTCAGCTGATATTTGTGATTTATGTCCCATATTATGTCGGTACATGTACTTGTAACGAGCAGAAAAAAAAGCTAAAACATTCTCACTCCATGTGAGTGAGTGAGTGAGTTGGGTTTAACGCTGCTTTAAACAGTATTCCAGTTATATCACGGCGTGTCAGCTTAATGTGGGAGGAAAGCCTGAAGTGATGCAGGTCTCAGACGTTTTCCACTTTGGTGAAACCAACGAGCATGGGTATGGCGCTGACAAACCTAGAAACATAATCGGAGCGAACCGGGATTCGAACCCACAATCATAGGTTTCTGGTGTGCCAAAGGGATGCAACTCTGCAAAGCGTATTGCGGCGCCTTGGACGACTGGGCCACCCATGCACCCCCCCCCCCCCCTCACTTCATGTGCATCTGGGCTAATAATGTGTCGGTAATGAAACGTCCAGGGTAATGTAAAAACACTACCCCCATGTTGCAAGAGTTGCTTCATATTTTGGATAAATATCAAGATCAGTACCAATAAATAGTGATAAATACCAACACCAATTTCTTTGTGAGGCATTTAGAAGTTGGAGTATTGTTTTGTTCTGTTTGTTTGTTGTTTAACGCCACACTCAGCAATATTCCAGCTATATGACAGCAGTCTGTAAATAATCGAGTCTGGACCAGATAATCCAGTAATTGACATCATGAGCATCGATCTACGCAATTCGGATACGATGACATGCGTCAACCAAGTCAGCGAGCCTGACCACCCAATCCCGTTAGTCGCCTCTTACAAGCATAGTCGCCTTTTAGGCAAGCATGGGTTGCTGAAGAGAAGATACATGGATGAACAACTTCTTTATTACATTTAGGAGTGATGTTTACGTGTAGGTTCTAACACCCCTATCACTTGCTTGATAACAGAACCTATCACCGAATCCAGTTCCTAATTGCAACAAAGAAGATGGCCATCCATATATCTTATCCTTATCAAGATCCCACCTTGTTTTCTATTTTCAGAGGTGTGAACAAGTCATACCTGTAAATACGATAACTAAAAAGAGGCACACCATATTGTTAAAACAGATTCATCAAAATGGATTCAACTCTCAATATCGGCTGGGACACCAAACATTCTGCTGCTCGGTGATGCCCAGAGGCCATCCTGATCAGTAGGGAATCACAGCAGCACCTGACACATTCATTATGCTCTCAGTAGGAATAAAAAAATCACTGAAAGGAGCTTATGCACTCGTGACATCAAAACTGTTGAACCAAGTCAGTAAATGTGGGTGTTGGTGTTCAGGGTTGAATAAAAAATATTTCTAAGACTATGGCAAAGATGCAATGTAAGCCCATTGAAAAACATTCTAATTTCTTAAATTTTATATTAATATCTGTGATGTGACTCAAAATAAGTCACTTGATATTTATTTGTGGCCAGCTACAGATTCCTTAACCTATTAACATAATCTCTGAACCAAAATGTTATTGCATGGCAGGTTAACTATGGTACTATGGAAAAATCGGGTGGTCCTTAACTTTTTTTGAGTAGCATACATTGAATACAGAATCAAGTAAAACATCCTTGATTTCCTAACATAACCTGTTCATGGCAAAGAAACGATATTAATATGAATAAAATCGGGTGGTCCTTAACTTCTTTTGAGTAGTATACATTAAATACAGAATCATGTAAAACATCTTGATTTCCTAACATAACCTGGGCAATAAATGCATCAAGTACAGTACTATATAAAACATCCTCGAGTACTTATCACAAATTGGGTACTCGTAACATCCCATTCACCACAGATGGAAGTACACGCTCCTGGACTGCCTACTGTGAGAGGACATCACAAGTAAATGAAGCCCTTCTTTCCCTGCTCCATCTGGTCCTCCTCTGTGAGGAAGTAGGACATGGACGGGACGCGGCGGATGTTGGTCCTCTTGGGGCACAGCCTCAGTCTCTGCATGTACAGCACTATAGAGGCCAGGACGATGAAGAAGCACACCAGGATGAGGTACTCGTTGTAGAACAGTCTCGACACGCGGAACCAGGACGGCTTGTGCGTCGACTGGTACTCCATTTGATGTTTTTCTATGTCCCTGAAATAGAGAGTGAAAGATGTCTTGTAGTGAGGTTGTAACTATCTACTGCAGGAGGGGTTTAACATGTGTGTTAGCTACGCTGATCGATGGTACAAGTGCCAGGAGAGGTTTAACATGTGTGTTAGCTACGCTGATCGATGGTACAAGTGCCAGGAAGGGGTTTAACATGTGTGTTAGCTACGCTGATAGATGGTACAAGTGCCAGGAGAGGTTTAACATGTGTGTTAGCTACGCTGATCGATGGTACAAGTGCCAGGAAGGGGTTTAACATGTGTGTTAGCTACGCTGATAGATGGTACAAGTGCCAGGAGGGGTTTAACATGTGTGTTAGCTACGCTGATCGATGGTACAAGTGCCAGGAAGGGGTTTAACATGTGTGTTAGCTACGCTGATCGATGGTACAAGTGCCAGGAGGGGTTTAACGTGTGTGTTAGCCACGCTGATCGATGGTACAAGTGCCAGGAAGGGGTTTAACATGTGTGTTAGCTACGCTGATCGATGGCACAAGTGTCAGGAGGGGTTTAACATGTGTGTTCGCTACGCTGATCGATGGTACAAGTGCCAGGAGGGGTTTAACGTGTGTGTTAGCTACGCTGATCGATGGTACAAGTGCCAGGAAGGGGTTTAACATGTGTGTTAGCTACGCTGATCATTGGTACAAGTGTCAGGAGAGGTTTAACATGTGTGTTAGCTACGCTGATCGATGGTACAAGTGCCAGGAAGGGGTTTAACATGTGTGTTAGCTACGCTGATCGATGGTACAAGTGCCAGGAAGGGGTTTAACATGTGTGTTAGCTACGCTGCTCGATGGTACAAGTGCCAGGAAGGGGTTTAACATGTGTGTTAGCTACGCTGCTCGATGGTACAAGTGCCAGGAAGGGGTTTAATGGGTGTATGCTACAGTTACCGTATTCGACGTAATAAGCGCTAAGGGCGCTTTCAAAATTAGAAATAGGGGGTATTAGAATATCATTTTGGTGGAAAAAATAGAGTTGAAAGATAAATTTCATGGTTTATGCTGATGGCCTGAACTGTTTATATACTGTTTAATTGCCCATAATTAAGAGTGCATATAACACACCAGAGCGTATTATACACGAATAAATAAGTGTTGTGTACATTGATCAAACGGATGGGGTGCTAATTGGGATTGTTCACTTGCCAATATATTAGCAAATATCGCCATCGGCGCTTATTAGAGCGGGGCGCTTATTACGTCGAATACGGTATGTTGATTGATGGTATAAGTGCCTGAACGATTCTGATAATTGTTTTCATTTGGCAACATATCCACAATGCAGAAAGTTACGAAAACTACCAACAGCTTTCTTTAGCTACTCATTCACACTTTTATATGTGTTGTTTTCTGCTGCAGTCAGTGATATTCAGGCTAGATGATGACAACCATGTACACAGTCAAGACTAGTACACATAAACCAGTGGTCGACATTATGAGTAACATCCGTCGTAGTACAATAACACACAATCAACTAAGTCACAGCCCTGCAATCTTTTAGTTGCCTCTTAAAATAAGCAGTAGGTGGGATGAGGTGAAATGGTGTTTAACATTCAAATGGGGTTTAATGTTGAAATGGGGTTTAATGTTGAAATGGGTTTAATGTTGAAATGGTATTTAACATTCAAATCGGGTTTAACATTGAAATGGGGTTTAATGTTGAAATGGGGTTTAACGTTGAAATGGGGTTTAACATTGAAATGGGGTTTAATGTTGAAATGGGGTTTAATGTTGAAATGGGGCTTAATATTAAAGATAATTGCACAATGCACATACATTGTGAAGTGGGTGCACGTGTTGGTGGCTGCTTGTAATAGTCCAGACTTATGCCAGTTTTAAAGTGCTAGTCCACGAGATACCATGCCACAGTTTAATATGGATACCCCACTCAGGCGATATACTGACTCCGAGCTGGATGTATCATATTAAGGAGACTAGTCCTACCTGAGTGGGATGTACCGAGTCCTGTAGATGAGAGCTCCTAATGTCCACTGGACATCCTTGTTGTTGATGAGTTGAGCAGATTTCAGATTCTTGTACTCCTCAGGGAACTTGAAACCGTTGTGGAAGACTGTGGACAGCCATGCTGCCTTGAAACACTGGTATCTGTGCGGAGTGAGTGAGTGAGTGAGTTTTATGCCACTTTGTACAGTATTACAGTACCGTACAGTATATCAGTGTGTTAGCTTGATGTAAGAGGACATAATGCAGGTCTCAGATGGTAATCATATGAGCACAGAAGGTTTGATAACATCACTTAAGGTTTCGGAAGACATATTCCCAATGCAGTACAACTTTCAAACAGGAAAGACTGCCTTGAGCTACCTTAATTACAAACTTATAATGACCGTGACCTTCATTCTCAACCAGGATCAGGTGGTCAGGCTCGCTGACTTGGTTGATGCATGTCATCGATCCTAACTGCGTGGATCGATACTCATGATGTCAATCCCTGGATTGTCTGCTCCAGACTCGATCATTTACAGACCGTGGTCATATAGCTGGAATATTGCTGAGTGCGGCGTTAAACAACAAACAAACAAACAAAATCATTCTCAACCATGACCAGTCTAGAGAGCATGGGAAGTTTTGATAGGCAGATTGGTGACACGCGAGGAGCTCAGCTCAGGGATTAACAGTTCGTTATATACCTAAACATTATCATTGACAGAGTACACGGGACCACAAGGTGAGTTCACTATATCCGTCAGTTCATTATAAGCGTTATAAACGTAGTTTACAGTAGTTAGAATGCACATTTTTCAACACTCAAATATCATGCTCAAAGCGCAGACAGGAAAGTGCAGTTCAGTAGAAAGCATGGCGGAAGAGATTGGTCTTTGATGTTGATCTAAAACCATAGTGAGTGAGTGAGTGAGTATGGTTTTACACCGCTTTTAGCAATATTCCAGCAATATCACGGCAGGGACACCAGATATGGGCTTCACACATTGTACCCATGTTGGGAATCGAACCCGGGTCTTCGGCGAGATGAGCAAACGCTTTAACCACTAGGCTACCCGACCGCCCCTCTAATACCATAGTAGGTAGGACCTTCACGGAGATCAGGGGATAGATTGTTCTATTCAGTGGCTGCAGCAAAGGAGAAAGTTCTATGTCCATAACTGGAGAGTTTTACCTTTGGTATGCGGAACAGATGTCTGGATTCAGATTGGATTGTTCGAGTTGGGTATAGAGCAATATCACAGCAGGGGACACCGGAAATGAATTTCAAACATCACACCCATATGGGGAATCGAACACGGGTCTAAGGTGTGACCAACAAACCCTTTTACCATGAGGCTACCTCACAGCCCCTCATGACAAGTAAAACAAGAGTTTGCCACTAACCTGGCAATATCCCCCGCCCCTGTTGCAGAATTTATGACATAATTAAATCTAAACAAACCCTAACCTTTTTTAACCGAGGTGGAACTTGTCATGGAAATTGTAAAAAAAAGAAGGGTTTGGAACCTAAGTCCATCTTGTTGCCATGGAAACGTAAAAAATCAAAATTTATAAAATTTCTAAATAGCAAAAGGCACCAGTTCAGCATGTACTTGACAGACCTGCAAAGTTTGATAAAAAAATATTGAACGGTTTCTAAGTTATCCTCCAGAAACGAAACATGACGGACGGACAGAGCCCGTTTCTATAACCACCGCCAACTTTGTTTGGCAGGGGATAATAACACCATAAAGTTAGCATATTACAGGGATTGTACTGATTGTCTGATGACTACCGTAAGGTGACGTATGTTAATGTGGTGATAATTAGAGATAGAAATGAAGAAAGTAAAACACCTACTTGAATCTAGCTTCATCAGCTTTCGGGTATAAATGCTGGTCATACCATTTAGATAACTGAGACCAACTTGAGCCACAAAACTCCTGAAATGATCAAATCATATTCAAGTTAAAACTTGTTAAACTAAATATATTATACTTCACATTATTGTCGCAATAAGTAGAAGCATATTTGATAAGCCTGTTGCAGAAATATACATCATCTGAGTGAGTGAATGTTGTTTGAAGCAACAGTCAGCAATATTACCATGACAACAGCTACAGTGTTGCTTGTTGTTCATGTTATCAACCACTGATTTGTCTATCCAGACGTGATTATTTACAGGCTGGAACATGCTGGCTGCTGAATAACATGGCTATCTGCATCATGTAGAGAGAATAGGTCTTCAGCAACCCATGCTTGTCGTTTTCGGCGACTAACGGGATCGGGTGGTCAGCTTGCTGACTTGGTTGATGCATGTCATCGTATCCCAATTGTCTAGATTGGTGCTCATGATGTCATTCACTGGATTGTCTGGCCCAGACTCCATTACTTTCAGACCGCCATCATAAAGCTGGAATATTGCTGAGTACGGCGTTAAAAACAAACAAACAATTCATGCAGACAAACATAAATCAGGCCAAAAAAATTATTTTTTGGTTTTCAGGCAATGACCACATCCAAACGGAAACACATACATATTGATGCATCCTGCTTTGAATGAAACACACGATTGGGACTGCCAGGTGAAGAATATTAGAAATTAAAAATGACATAAATAGTGGCCACCCGAAGTCAACAAATCTTGTGAAATCATGTTTTTATAGCCTGTGGAAGTCTTGTTCACTTACTGAAGAATATTTATTGAAAATAGCACTGCTGTAATTTCCGCCTTTGTGATAAACATCCTCCATGGTGTACCAGAACTCCGAGAAGCCGTAGAAGGAGGAGCGTGTGTGGTCAATCAAGGGCTGACTGACGCCGTTCATGGAGCAGGGTTCCTGTGGACAGGGCACGGTGAGGTTGAGGAGAGGTGTGAGGGCTGATCGACACTCGTCGTAGCTGCCGGTGCCCTTGAAGTAGTGCTTGACACTCTTCTCGTCCTCACTCTCCAGCGGCATCGACTGTGGGAGGCATGGATCTAGAACTGGGTAGGTCGTGTTCTGACCAGGTCGACTGGAATGAACGACATGCAAATTAGCAATACTGACACGTTTCAAGGCATCATGAGTGAGTGAGTGAATGTTGTCATATGCCACAATGTAAAAGAAATGAGAGTGTGTGCTGCATTCTGATGACTGAAAATTCTTGTCAAGTAGAAATGAATCCTGACAATCTCTCGAACTTTTCAGCTTGAAAAAAGAGGTACCACATTTGATCACTACTCATGAGAAAGTTGACTTAAGTTTGATTTTTTTCCAATATTTTACTTAGCGGGCATGTTCAGTTATCAATGGAAGCATGTGATGTCATCCACTGTATCTTGGTCCTGTGAAGATTCCGGGTTAGAACAGGTTGTCAGCAACCCATGCTTGCCATAAGAGGTGACTACGCTTGTCGTAAGAGGTGACTCGGGTGGTCAGGCTTGCTGACTTGGTTGATGCATGTCATCGTATCCCAATTGCGTGGATCGATGCTCATGATGTCAATCACTGGATTGTCTGGTCCAGACTTGATTATTTACAGACTGTCATCAGACTCGATTATTTACAGACCGCCGTCATATAGCTGGGATATTGCTGAATGCCGCGTTAAACAACGAACAAAACAAAACACTGTATCATTATGTCTTAGCATCCCAGAGTTATGTCATGTCCGTTTCACAACCCTTGGAAAATTACTGATGACTCTTGTATTTTACAATGTCAATAAATGTGTTTTCAGATTTGTTTGTCTCTTTGAGTATTTGATAGCGAGAAATTTCATCTGGAACCGATGACGCAGTCTGAAAACACAGAATGTTTATCTCAGCGTTATTCCAGCCATATCAGGGTCAGGCAACCAGTGATTGGCTGTGTGTGCAACATTTAAAGTTGTCGGCTCTTAAGGTAAACTTGTACTGGGGAACATTCTGCTCATGAAGCCCAACTGGGGAGGGAATGTGAAAGCTTCAATTGAATTTGTATGAGCAGATAGATTGATTTGATGCAAGTGAGAGTCAGTTGGATTTATTTCTGTGTCAAACAGTATGTCAGTCTCAACACAATATGTCGTAGGTCGTAGGTCGTAGGTCGTAGGTCGTAGGTGGTGCCTCTTTGGTGAAACCAACAAGCATGAGTGACAAACATGCTGACAAACAGTGGATAATGATTTGGTGAAATCAGGCAATCGAACCCATGCCGGATCCTGGCCAAGCTAAGGGATGCAACTCTTCACAGTGAATTGCTTTACCTTAGACCACTGGGCCACCTGTACCCGGCTTTCATGAAAATATATCCTGATGGAAAGAAACATGGGAGGGAAACAAGGGTTTGTTTCAAATCTGTAGGAATCCAGACATAATCATGATAATTCAGCAATGTTGTGAAGAGCGCTTCAGTTATCTACCTGTCTCCTTGTTTGGCGGCCTGTTTCAGCAGCTTCTCCTCGTATCTCTCCCTGGCTGAGTTGGCTCCGTAGCCCAGGAAGGTGGTCACGTACACGCGGTATGTGTGTTCCGTGTCCGAGTCCTGGCAGCCCAGGTTCACCTCCGCCACCAGGTGCTTGGGCAGCTCTTCCCGCTGGAAGCAGTATGTTAGTGTTGTATTAGGCCCAGGTCGTGGACAAGAGGAAGACAAAGAGCTGTCGCCATTCATTTAACTTATAGTATCACTTATCTACAGGTATTGATGTGTAAATGAACATGATGAAATTATTCATACTTGCTGTTACGATCTTAAGCCAAAGGACAGTATACTTGGGCTAGCTATCGACATAGATCATAGAGATCGATAATCGCTACCTTAATATCAATTAATTATCGATAAATATCGGAGAAGGAACTTTGAGCAAATATGTTAGAAAGTCCCAAAAGAAATCAACATCTTGTACGCAACTGGTGACACATTTATGCATGAATTATTTTCTGGACATTTGAGATATATACAGTTGCATACCGTCTTCGACAGTTGACATCATTGGCAAATGACAAGTCTGTTTGGTAAATCTAAATTTTATTTCATCACAATAGTTTATGCGAGTTATTATCGCCGACAAAATTTCATATCGATAATCATTAAGATTTCTTCCCATTGATGATAATTCCAATTATCAATTATTTAGCCAGCCCTACATTAAACGCATAAGCCTTGATAGTCTATACTACTAAAAATGACTGATATCGTCTAAGTCTCACCTCGTTGAGAACTTCGAAAGCTATCTGCACTGACCCTCCCCCCATGTCCATCATGCCGACTGTCCGTCTGCGCAGGTGGGTTTTCCCGCCTTGACCAGGGAGCTTCACACTGACTAGGGCATGGTCTGAAATAGGACAGGTCATAGAAGTTCATTTCTGTGTGTCGGGTTTAACACAGCTTTGAACAGCATTTTAGTTATATCAAGGCATTTGAGCCTGCTATGAGGGGGGGTGACATTTTGTTTGTTTGTTTGTTGTTTAACACTGCAATCAGCAATACTCCAGCAAAACACACTTCCCTATAGATTCTATGATTCCTTTTGTCAACTCTCACCTTCAGGCCCATGGGAAAATTTGTCAAGGACATAGTTGACGGCGATCCAAGCATACACTCCCTCCAGCTTGCCACTGATCACCTCAAAGTGGTTCTCAGCCACCTGGAAGTCGAACAGCTTGGGGATGTCTGTCAGCAAGTCTGTCAGGATGGCCTTCTGGGCTCTACAACAAAACCATTACCTTACAGTGGGCAAACAGAAGCTTCTTGGTAATGAGGAAGTGAGTGAGTGGGTGGGTGGTTGAGTGGGTTGGTGTAAAAATGAGTGGGTGGGTGGTTGAGTGGGTGGGTGTAAAAGTGAGTGGGTGGGTGGTTGAGTGAGTGAGTGGTTGAGTGGTTGAGTGGTTGAGTGAGTGAGTGGGTGGGTGGGTGGGTGGGTGGGTGGGTGAGTGAGTGAGTGAGTGAGTGAGTGAGTGAGTGAGTGAGTGAGTGAGTGAGTGAGTGAGTGAGTGAGAGTGTTTTGGGGTGTGTGGGTTGTTGAGTGAGTATGCCTCTTTTAGCAATATTCCATCAATCTCCCAGAGTGGACACCAGAAACAGGTTCACTCACTGTACCCATGAGGGACACTGAACGCGGACCTTCAAGCATGACGAGTGAACACTGTAACCACAAGGCTATCCCACTGCCCTTCTTTGTGTGGATAGCGTTCCTAGGATATCCATTACGCACACTGAACTGGTCAGGTGGTCACTCATCCAGTACACAATCAACAACAGTGCTCTGTCTGCAGCCATTATGGCCACCTTTCACAGCATGAGTTACTCTATAGGGGATCTGTCCCCAAATCTGTCCCACTGTCATGCTTATTTCAATTGTTTTCCAAAGCACAGTTATCAGTTTCTTCACACTTGCATCTTCTATTAAATATGGGGTGCAGTGGCCTAAGGCACTGCAGTTCGCTGTACAGAATTACATCCCTTTGATGTGCCAGGATCTGCCCTGAGCATGACCTTGTTTTGCATACTCCTGCTGGAAAGTGTCACCCAAGCCACTTTGGGCTCTTCCCCCATTGAAAGTCTATTGCATGAATAAAATACTGTCAAATTCCCTCTCTCTGGGTTAAATAGGAAAGTTTTTGTATCATGCTTATACACATGTACAGTGACTTACAAATTCGAGAATCATTGCAACTAACATAAGTTTTAAATAAGGTAGCACCGGTAAAGATGCGGGTTAGAATAGGTCTTCAGCAACCCATGCTTGTCGTAAGAGGCGACTAATGGGATCGGGTGGTCAGGCTTGTTGACTTGGTTGATGGATGTCATTGCATCCATTTGCGTGGTTTGATGCTCATGATATCAATCACTGGATTGTCTGGTCCAGGTTTGATTATTTACATACTGCCATCATTAGCTGTAATAATACTGAGTGCGGCATAACCAATCACCAAACAAAGAAATAAATAAGGCAGCTGTGTTAAAACATTATTTAAAACATATTAAACAAACCAAACCCTGTGTACTAGGCCTACTGACCTATATCTCTTGTGTTTGGTTTGGTTTGGTTTGTTTGTTGTTTAACCCCCCACTCAGCAATATTCCAGCTATATGACGGCGGTGAATAATGGAAACTGAACCAGACAATCCAGTGATTGACATCATGAGCATCGATCCACGCAATTGGGATACGATGACACGCATCAACCAAGTCAGCAAGCCTGACCACCTGATCCCGTTAGTCGCCTCTTACGACAAGCATAGTCGCCATTTACGGCAAGCATGGTTTCTACCCCAGATCTTTACATGTCCATATCTCCTGGGGCCATGTTGCCTGAAACAAAGGTATTTCTGTCAGTCTCACTTTTCGGGTATCATCCGCATGCCAGCTGTTGCCAGAATGTATAGCGGCGTCTCCTTGTGGTGTTCTTTAGGAATGTACTGGGACGCATACCGAAGAAGCTTGGAGATGTGGTCACTGGCATCATGTGGCGTGTCCTCATATTCAGAAAGACCTAAAGAAGAAATGTCAGCCAATCTCATTAATTTTGATGTTAATTTCCAGTTTTGTCAAACTTTACCCAGTACTGAAAACAATAATTGAACAAGTAATTATGGTTGGAATTCTAATCAAGACAATTCACCACACTCACTGTACATGTTGCAGACAATTGTATCAGATAGCACTAGATAAAAAGAAATTATAAGGAAAAAAACAAGATAACTAGAAATAAAACTGGCACACCTGCAACCTACGTCAAATTGACAACAGATGCAACAAAAACTACAGAATGCATCCATTGGGATGTGGGAGACATACATGTATGTTAGTACCATTAAAACACAATTACAATTAATTTCTGTACAATTTCACTTTCGTTATATTTCATTTTGGGGAAAAATATTTTTAATTAATGGTCTCTGAGTATGCGGAATGTTACATCACTTGGAGTAGAGTACTTCAATTTGGGACATTTCTCTAGGACCCCCATATTTAACCTGGGACCCTACAATTAAAGGCTTTGAGTCCCCACCAAATATATAATCAAGATAAGTCCCTGCATAAGTATTTTCAGAATTTTCAAATCAGGAAGCAAACTGGCAAACTTTGACACGTAAGTTTGTAAAAATAACATTATGTCTACAGGTGAGGTGAGGTGAGGTGAAATGGGGTTTTATGTCGCGTTACAGATTATTGCATTAAAATAGAGACGTGAATGCACGTGTGTGTGTGGCTGCTTGTACTGGTCCAGACTAATGCCGATTTTATAGCACTAGCCCCATTCGGACACAGTATACTGACTCTGAGTTAAACTGTTAGTTTCTATTGCCGTTAGCCATTCCAGAATGTTCTTGTGTCAAGTTTTCAAAATATTAAACATAATCTTTTTAAAATATGTTTCAAAGTGTAGTCGCCAGTTTGACACCAGTGCCGTAAAGCTTGAGAAAGCTGTTAACTGGCTAATGTTGACTAATTGTTACTCATTCCACTGGTTGGTAAAAGTTCGCAAAAGGTGGGTCTAACGTGACCCGTAATGGGATGTCCTCAGATCTGTGTTTAGCAGTAGCGAGACCTAAGATCTGACTTTAATGAGATTGGACCTATTCTAACCCAGAATCCCAGCGGAGTCTGATGGTGATGCTGAATCAACTTATTCCCTGCCTCAGTACTTACCGGGTGCGACTTTTTTCACGACCAAGTTTCCTTCACCATCTCTGAGCTGTTGGATGTTGAGCAGTTCGCCAGGTTTCCCAGAGTGTGGGGGCCAGTAGTAGACGTAGATGCGACTGCCGCTGCTGCCGCAGTCAATAACTATCCCATAATGCAACTTGGAACCTGATTTGTTGACATCGTCTAATTCAGACTTATCTCCCTTGTTGTCAGGTCGGTCAGCTGACCTTGTTTTCACAACCACGACAACACAGAGAAGGATGAAAGCGACGATGATGAAACCGCTGATCAAGAAGGATTTCCGGGATGTTCCTTGTTGGTTGGCAGCAAACATTGACGGACAGGGCCAGTTGATGTAAATTCTGAAACATACAGGTGTATGGAAGACGTGTCAAGGTTCGGATTTCTGAAAGCAGATAAAGGTTATTTCTTTCTGCCAACAGTTGGGACTGTGGGGTAGCCTCACAGGAACTCGATCATAGCGTGTATAACATAATATATTTGTATAGAAAAAAATCACACCCCTCTATATACATAGAGGCAAGGAGTGACACTCGCCATCTTGGTTCTTATTCAAGATTTCGCACACGGTTCGAATCACAGCTTGATATCGCAGGAAATACGAATGTCACTTATTTCAACCTATTGGAACTTGCTAAACAAACCTCTTATTCAAAATTTTTATCCTTACTAAGTACTCCAACTTCTAGACGCCTATCAAAGAAGAAAAAGGAAAGGTGGCTGTTCATCAGATGTTGTTATTTGGAAATATCCCTGATGGTTATAGTTAAATAAAATATAGTATCCCTGTAGTGAAAGCATTTTCAGATTTGGAATTGCATGCATAATATGATTGCTACTCCCTTGCTGTCATCCATGTTTCCTGGTGTAACCCTACACCTTCAGTTAATGAATTTATTACAGGTATAACAAGAATTTGCCACTAACGTGGCTATATCCCCCGCCCCTGTTGCAGAATTTATGAAATAATTAAATCTAAACAAACCCTAACCTTTTTTAACCGAGGTGGAACTTGTCATGGAAATTGTAAAAAAAAGGAGTTTGGAACCTAAGTCGATCTTGTTGCCATGGAAACGTAAAAAAAATTAAAATTTCTAAAATTTCTCAATAGTGAAAGGCACCAGTTCAGCATGTACCTGACAGACCTGCAAAGTTTGATGAAAAAATATTGAACCGTTTATGAGTTATGCTCCGGAAACGAAACGTGACGGAAGGGTGGACGGACGGACGGGGATAATTAGTGGTAGTAGCACCACTCAGATTACCTGACAAAGATGCCCATTTGGCATTTCTTGTGTCTGGGGTAATTACTCAATCTAAATGCAGGTCTGAAGTGGGGTGAAATATATGTTATGCAATATGCACGATTGCTCAGAAAGAGAGGAATAATCAGTTGAGTTACAAAAAAAACATCAGGCAAAGGATTAACCGAAAATATGTTGATTGATTAATCACTGTTATCTTGCACTGTGGACTTGTAAAAAGTAAGTGTTTACATATGAAGGTTTACTAAAGCAGACCGAATACCATGTCTGGGCATAAAGTGCCGATGTGAAAACAACATACTTTGTTCAAAGGATTAACTGATAAGACGTTGATTGATTGCTCATTGTTATCTAACTCGATGAATCTTTTTAAAGAACTATAAACATCATGAATGTAGTTGTCAAGTGTGCTATTTCAGCTGACCAAAGAGACTTGACACCTATGGGAAACACCAAACAAACTTATGTGATCACGTGAAAAACCTACAATAGCCATAAGAGCCATATATATACATAAAAATATCAGATTGTTACAAGGACGATGTCACATCGAACATGTAAACAAACTTATGGATGGGATATTGTTCCTTTATTTGGATATTTACGGATACATTCCTTGAAACAAGGTAACTGCCTAATGTTAGACATTATAGTCGGTTGTAATTATGATATTTGCATTTGTTTTCATTCATTTGCTGTAGCACTGAACAGAATCATTTTTGTTCCCCTCCGTCTTCAATGCGTTTTCACAAGCCTGACTGTTTGCAGGTGTGTATATGTTACAGTCTATGTTTAAATTGCGATTCACTCAGGCAATTTATCAAATGTCCAAATATTGCCGTCATTTTACAAATTAACTGAAAAATCTGTCACTTAATTGTCTAAAAATTGTCAAGACTTTCAAAGGGGATTAAAAACATCACAATAGACTAATAATGCTAGGATTAGAAGGAAAAAAATATAGAAATTTTCTTTTCATCCTATCCTTTTCACTCACTGGGAGATGAAATTAAACACTAAAATGTTTGGAATTTGTTATCATAAAATAAAAGGACAGATTCTTCAGTCATTTTGAAAAATAACTGAATATTTAGGCATTAAATAAATTGCCTAATTGAAAAGTTTAGTCATTTTACATATTGTCTATAACCATGATAACATGTACACACGATAAAATAAGCAATGCTCAGATGAAATATTTAGTTTGTGTTACGAGTCAAAATAGTCATTTTGTTGATCACTGTGACCATACGCCCTTATACTATCATTAAAGGCGACAAATACACTTACAGTTAGCACAGCACAGATCACAAGCTAGTCGAGATTTCTACCATCTAGTTATCCACAAAAACAATAACAAAGGCAACAACCACACCCAGTGAATTGTCAGAGATAAGTGACACTTTAAGATGCAGGTGCAAGCTGAATGGCAATTACCTAACTACTGTACATCAACACTGACCACTGGCAGGTTATACCTATTGCGTACACCTCCAGGTGATTACGGCCTGCCTTGACGGGTTACATCCCATTAGTAAGACATCCCATTAGTGAGACATCCCATTAGTGAGACACCCATAGTAAGACAGTGGAGTAGGTGGGATTAATTAAACAAACACAGCCAGTCTAGCTGTTGGCAAACTTCTGAAGATGGATTAAGGTTGTGTCAGTGTGACAACCTCAATGTGAACTGTGATGTGAACTGTGATGTGAACTGTGATATTAACTTTAACTGAACTCTAAGTGGAGAATATGTTAAAACAATGGATTTAAGGGATGGATGAATTAAAATGTTGAATGAAATAAAGTAAAAGAGGGTATCAAGCATCTTGATTCATTTCTTTTGTCTATAATAAGACAAGTCCATTTTCATGATAGGGGTTAATTACCTGATTAACATGTATGACATTGTTGTTTTAAGGTGTCTCACGACTGGGCTGTCTTACTTATGGGAGGAGACCCATCGACTTATTGAATACAGATGTAATTAAGTGATGTAGACACTGTTAATTAAGGAATGCTTTCATCATGTTTACAGATGGATTATGAGGATTAAAGTTTATTTACATTGACATTTTGATACCCCAAATTACAGTCATAGTTTACATGGCATTAATGTTAGATTAAATAGCACTTGAATTGAGATCACTACAGAAATGTTATGGTGTTTATGCAACCAAGTATTGATGGTTTTCCATCCTGGCTGATTTAGAACATTGCAATAATATTCTAACACTCTAAGGATACATAAAATACATTTTAGCAAAACAGCAAAAAAGTTGATAACAGTTATTATTACAGTTTGAACACGAAGAATTATAGCAAACTTAGCCTGCAGTGTTCCTGTTTACCAGTAATTACCAGCTTTATACCAGTAAAATTAGGCTTAGACCGGTAATTCATGTGTCTGCCTGTCCCTGTGGACTGGCAAATAAAGGACCTATTAAGTCTTTGTTGTCAAACAAAACATCAGTGATATTCAGATAAGTATATTTTTCAAACAAAGTCAACTTGTCTGTTACCATCAGGGTTTCTCGTTGTCTATTTTAGTGCAAGGGAATAATATTTCGCTTTGGTTCTTGGTTAAATATTTATCTGAAGCGACCATGTCAAAATATTAATAAAAAAGAGTAATTTGTGACTGATGTTTGTGTGAATGATGTGTAGATCTAACTAAGTTACTTGAGAGTAGAACTAAACATAGTGTTGAAAGAAGCAGGTCATTTTTACATAGGTTTTTTTATTTGTTTAAAGCGGGCACTGACAAAAAAACTAGGGGGGACTGGTCATATTTAGAGTTGCCAGTCCACCAGCAGTGGCAGTTTCAAAGGCCACATAACCCACTGGTCCACTGAGTTTAGCCTCCAAACATCAAAGCTACATGTATTTGTAATGGAATTTATTAATGTACAATCACTGGATATTACATAAACTCTTTTATTGGAATTTCTAATCAATATCCAAATGGCAAAACTAAAACGAACAATGGTGGAAAAAGCATTGAAAGACATGTACATATACCGTATTCGACGTAATACCCCGCTCTAATAAGCGCCCACAGCAATATTTGCTGATATATTGGCTAGTGAACAAGCCCAATTTGTATCCCTTCCGATTGATGAATGTACACAAGACTTATTTATTCGGTATAATACCCACACATGTGTTATATGCACCCTTATTTATGGGCAATTATATTCTGGAAAAATACATCTGTCGTACATAAACATTTCAGGCTGTCAGCATAATTTATCTTTCAACTGTTTTTTTTTCACCAAAATAATATTCTAATACGAGCCCCCTATTTCTAATTTTGAGCGCCCCCCGAGCGCTTATCACATCGAATACGGTAAGTGCTGGAACATACTGGTATATCACACATATTTTGGATACAACATAGTCAATTGCAGCAGCACATTGTGTTAATGCTGATAATCATGATAATGTCAACTAATATAATAGTATTCAATCGGAAAAACGTCACCAACAGCTAGTAACAGCTGTATTATCAATGAGTTCATCATTTTAAACGTAATTGAAAACTCAAGGAAAATGACAACAGCTGTCACAAACTACTCAAAATACAGTGTTTGATAAGGCCAGACCAGTTTATATCACCTGTTATATCACAGATCACCAATTATTTCTTGCTTTCAAATGGAGCTGCATATAAGCAGTAATTAGTAATACATGCAAGACTCGACATTAGAAACAAATCAGGTGTTCCCAAGGACACTGTACCGGTTTTTCAGTTTAGGTGGGCTTGTTTTTATTACCCAATAATTATAACAAATAGTGATTGTCAGCTATGTTTTTCACAACAATCAACACGAATAACCACTTCTGTTTGAAACGCATGATCCACATTATATTCTTGATATTCTGTAAAAATTCGGAAAGATGCTACTACACTGAAATCCATTTTGTGCAGTCTGGAACATCTGGTCAAACATTTGTAAGATGCAGTTAACGGAAATCACCAAATAATGCCAACTGATTTTACAACAGGAAGTCGTTGAGCGATAGTCGAAGGTGCAATTAAAGAGGAATACTCTTCCATTTCAGTTTCATTTTGC